CCCCCCCCAAGATTTGAAAGTATCTTGTCTCCTTATTGGTCCTTGGGTCAGGTGTCAGCCAGGTTACCCGAGCTTCTTAACCCTTTCCAGGTAAAAGGATTTGGAGTCTCTGTACACAGAGAGCTGTTACCCTTCCCTTTATAGTTATGACACCATGACTTGTTATTAGAAAATCTTTAAAATCACAGTTTTTGTATTGACATTCACAGCTGTGGCAAACCCACAGACTTAAACATCTGGTTAACTTAACTCCCTCTTAAGGACAGCTGAACCATGAGGACAGGGGGAAAAGCACTGACTTATAAAGAACAAGTCACGTCACAAACGTGATAGATTTTTGGATTGAACTATAAAATTAGTGGACAAAATTAATGCAGTAGGTATAATGTATCTTGCCTTTAGTAAAGCTTCTTCTACAGTATCTTAAATTTTTTTGCCTGAATAGTTAATCGTTTTGCTTGGATGTAAGCACTGTTGTATTGAATAATAATAATAAAAAAGTAATGATAGCACTTAAAGTGATCTCAAAGAAGTATTAAGTCAGTCATTGGCCAATGACAGATTTTCATTACAATATAACAAATGTTAGGGCTCAGACAGAGAGAGGGCCTGATTCTGGTCTGCTTTGCAACATATGCAGCTATTTACGCTTGCGCAAACCTAGTGCAAATTAAGCATAAAATACTATCGGGTCCTAAGAGAACCATTTTACAGACACTTTTCACTGGAATAAATGATTACACAAGATGCAATGTCTTGGGGAACCTGGCCCAGAATGGCTAAATAATCTCTGAGTGGGATGAGAAGCAGATGTAATGTAACATTAAAGAGGAAAGGTCAAATGGACTAATATGCCAGTCATGGAGGTCAGGCTATCTGCATCAGCCTGCATAGATGCAAGCTGGTAATGACCTGATAATGATGAGACAGCAGGGTCTGACATGGTGTTCTCCAAGTGGTAAATAGCAACTGAAAAACCAGAAGACAAAACCAAACCTATGAGATTTATCTCCAATTTTAAGTGTACACAAAAGATTTTCTCAGTGCTAGTGCCCTTCTCCTGGGCATATACAACATGGCACCATCATGAATCGCCTCATGTCCAGAAAAGAATAGAAAACATACAGCTGTGGGGACAATTGATGCTACATTCTCTATTTGTCAGTCAAATGCACACTCATACTCTACCGGTCAGTGCCTAGGATGTGGGCGGTCATGTCCAGTGGTTAGAGCAGGAGTCATTAGTCAGGAATCAGAGCCCAGGCAGGGTCAGAGGCCAGATGCCAGAGCTGAAGTCAGGAATCAGAGCTGAGGGTCAGGATTGGGTTACCAGAGTCAGGCAAGGCTATGGCCAAGCAGGACAGGAGCTATTGCAGCCATGGGCAAATGCTTTGAGCAGCCACCGCACTGCTGCTGGGCTTCAGAACTGGTCTGCTCACTCTTCCTACCAATCAGGTGGGGCAGCCAATCTGGCAGCCTACTACAGGCCATCAGTACTCATTAGGTTGCCTGGAGACTGGCTATGCTGCAGGCCCTGACTCCTGCCCCTGCCACATCATCCACCATTTGCTCGAAACTGACCCAACTCAGTGTTTCCTAATGTTTGAGCTAATTTTGTGACTACAGATGACCTAACCCACTTTAAGCCTTTGAAAACAGCACCGTAAGGAGGTGTAGGGAAGCTGTCTATTGGAGTACAATACACATCAGTGTCATTTAACGAGAGAAATCCTGTTCCCATTGACATCAATGACAAAACCCCCACTGACTTCAGTGAGGTAAGGATTTCACCCAACATTTTTACTCATGATTTAGAAGAAGGTATAAATAATAGCACATTCATTAAATTTGCAGATAATAATAATAATAATTGTTGTGAGCAGTTGTGAGCACCACTGAAAACAAGGAAATAATGCAAAGGGACTTAGAGAGGTTAAAAATACAGGCAGGATACAAAAACTATTAATTCTAGAAAAATGCAAACTAATAGTTCGGGGGAACAATCCAAAACACAGTTATGTCACAGCAAGGAAAGCAGTAAAAGTGAAGAAGATGTAGGGTGATAGCATGCATCAAACTAGATGTCAGCTTGCAGTGTAATAAGG